AGTCACGGAGGTGATTCTGTCGAGCTAATTGTGTGCACTGATTTAGATATCGCTGGTATCGGAAGGGTTAACTCCACTACACTCCACCCTGGAAAAACTCCCCGTACAGGGGCTGCGGTAGGAAATGCAGCCACTGGAAATTACAGGTCTGCTGCCCCCAGCAGCCGGGGCAGGGGCTGAGCCCCTCGGCAGGAGGAGGAGGAGGAGGAGGAGGGGGCCCTCCTGTGATGTGATGAGATGAAACGCATCACCTTCAGAGCACTGAGAGCCGGGAGGATTTGAATCCCTCCTGACGACCGTGGCAATACTGTCCGCGACCTGTTTTATTCCCATTCCCCACCAGCTACACGGGAGCTTTCCCCTCCGCTTGTCGGGGCTTGCCCCGTGGCTCGGCCCGCTCTGAACCCCCAGCTCTGCTCCGCGCCGAGGGGATCCCCTCGGGAGCAGAGAGGCTTCGGGTTTCCTTTCGACCTTACAAATGCTTGGCCGGGTCCCAAAAGTGGCAGCGTGATGCGGCTGCCGTGTAACAGCGGGGCGGGATTGCATCAGCTCCCGCTTCGGAGCCGGCTGCGGGGTCTCACCTTGCTTGAGACAGCGGGGAGCTGCTCCCTCGTGTCCTGCACCTCGATGCGCTGTTCTCGGCCAGGGAAAGAAGAAAAACTTAGGCTGCGATCAATACGGTCGAAAAAGGGAAAGTTTGGCTCTTTAAATACCTTCTTTGCTATTAAAGATGAATTATGTGATGAAAAGAGAGCCCCCCTTCATCGTCACAGCCGCAGTAGGTTTAAGGCGTACCAGGGAGAGACGTCTAAAAACCCTTTTAAACACAAGTAAAATGCTAAAAAGCTGTTTTTCGTGTCAATCCCCCACTCCCCTCTCCGGACTTTGGCGGTGATGGGGGAAAGCGGCAGTCGATGCGGTTTGGGGCATCCCGGACTGGAACACGTGGGACGGCTCAGGGCAGGGAGCGGGGGGGCGAGGGGATGCTGGAACCAGCCGAGCCATCTTCCTCCAGGTGAATCGGATGGGAAAACTGAATTGAGGCTTAGCAAAAGCCTTAATAATTGCCTTAATAATGATTATTTGAATAAGGACTTCTATTCCGAAGGATAAAAGTTGTTTACTTAAAAAGGAATTTGTCAGGCAACCCAAGCTGTGAAATAATGACTTCTGTAAAACAAAACAACTTTTGTTTGTTCCCTTTTTGCAGTAACAAAGCCTCGCTTTTAAGTCAGGCTTAAAAGCAGGAGAGCGCATGGCACGTCAGCCCTCGGGTGCTCTTCCCCGGTGGCCATCGTCCTGCAGAGAAGGGACCGACTCCTTGAAGTCTGCTGCTAAAATTAGCGCCAGGTCTGAGCCTCCTGCTCTGCTAATTACAGGTCTGTGAGATAAGTGGGTGGTGTGCTACAAAACCGGCTTCTCCCGTGTTTCAGAATGGCCGGGATGGAGCTGTTCGATGGGATTTATGAGGTTTTGAGTTGACAGCCCTAGAGAAGGGTAAATCGGGGTTTGTGGGTTCAAGTGATACGTGGAAACCTCATCAAATGTGTTCCTTCCCCCTGCGATGCAGAAATAATCCCATTTATGCAAGCCCCATCCCGGGCACTCAGCACTGCGCCCATCGCCTGAGCTCGGGGCGGCCGGCACGCCGACCCTCGCTCCGTCTGCTCCAAAGACCCTGACCCGGCTCGTGCACCGTCCTCGGCGTGAGCCAGCTCCTCCTGAAGTGGATGCTGCGTGGTACCCGCGTCGCCCCAGGCTCTCGTCTCGGGGGAACTGGGGATTCGGGGGGGGATTATAACCCCCCGTGGATGTAAGACCCCAACCCGAGGCAGCCCCTCTTCGCTGGGCGGCTCTTT